TATTGATATTGTTTAATGATTTCTGCATACCATTGAGTCACCTTTCTTCGGAATGGGCACAGGTATGGATCTCTTCCAATTGTTTGGCCAATTATCTGTTTTCTGATTTTCTTAGCATAGAGAATGGCTGCCTCCACAGCTGTATCCGTTTGTTGAAACGTTTCCATTTGTACTCGTCAATTCCTGAAGCCTTGTGTATCACCAATGGGTTCAGTGCTGCTGGGAGCTCTTTCTTCAGTATTACTGGGGTATGATCATATACAGCCTCTTGAAATGTTGACTGTCGATCAGTTCTTGGAACAGTGACTCTGTGTATTCCTTCCATCTTCTTTTGATGCTTCTTGTGTCATTCAATATCTTTTCCATGTTGTTGTTGTTATTGTTGTTAGGTGTGGTCAGGTTGGTTCCAACTCATAGCAACCCTATGTACAACGTAGGAATGAAACAGATCCGGCCCTGAGATTCTTCACAATTGTTGGAGCCCATTGTTGCTGCCATGGTGGCAATCCATCTCTTTTACGCTCATGCTCCACTTTACTGAGCATGGTGTCCTTCTCCAGAGACTGGTTCTTCTTGACAACATGTCCTTCTCCAGGGACTGACCCTTCCTGACAATGTGTCTAAAGTACAAGAGATGAAGTCTTGCCATCCTTACTTCTAAGGAGCATTCTGAATGCTCTACTTCCAATACAGATTTGTTTGTTCTTCCAGCAGTGGATGGCACTTTCAATACTCTTCTCCAACACCATAATTCAAATGCATCAGTTCTTCTACTGTCTTCCTTATTCACTGTCCAGCTTTCATATGCATATGAGATGATTGAAAATACCATGGCTTGCATCCAGTACACCTTAGTCCTCAAAGTGACATAAAATCATTCAGTATAGCAATTCAAGGTTTGAATCTTTTTTCTTTAGTTCTTTCAGCTTGAGCAATGCTGAGCATGTTCTTCCCTTTTGTTTTCTGACTTCAGATCTTTACAGATTTCATTATAATACTTTGTCTTCTCAAGTTGACCTTTGAAAATTTCTGTTCAGCTCTTTTCTTCCAGTCACTTTAGCTTCTCTCGTGCAAGAGGAAGTTTTGGAGTCTCTTCTGACTTCCATTTTAGTCTTTTATTTCTTTCCTTTCTTCATAATGACCTTTGGTTTTCTTCTTGGACAATGTTCTTGATGTAATCCCACAACTCCTCTGGTTTTCAGTCCTTAGTCTCCAATGCATCAAGTCTGTTCTTGAGATGGTTTCTAAATTCAGGTGGGATATATTCAAGGTCATATTCTAGTTTTCATGAACTTGTTTTAATTTTCTTGTTTTAGCCTACACTTGCAGATGAGCAACTGATGGTTTGTTCCACAGTTAGCCCATGGTGGCCTTGTTTTGGCTGATGCTATTGTGCTTCTCCATCGTCTCTTCCCACAAATATAGTCAGTTTGATTCCTGTGTATTCCATCTGGTGACATCCGTATGTATGTTGTTGTTTGGTGCCATCAAGTCAGTACCGACCCATAGCAACCTTATGCACAGCAGAACGAAACACTTCCCAATCCTGGGCCAGCCTCACTACTGTTGCCACGCTTGAGTCCATCGATGCTGCCACTTGGCCAATCCATCTTGCTAGGGGTCTTCCTTTTTTTCTCTGACCCTCCACCTTAACCAAACATGATATCCTTCTCCAGTGACTGGTCCCTCCTGACAATATGTCCAAAGTATGAAAGACACAATTTGGCCATCCTGGCCTCCAAGGAACACTCTGGCTGCTCTTCTTCCAAAACAGGTCTGTTAGTTCTTTTGGCAGCCCATGGCACTTTCA